GGTGAGTTGCGTGCCCCTTTGGTGGGACAGCAGTCTATTTATATACAATGTATATATATCCCTTAGCCTGTTTGATTGTAGAGAAGTGAAGTCTAGTAGACTCAAGCATAATATCTTGCTTTGTTGTGTAGGTTGCGTCTGAGGAGAAGTGGGAAAAATGAGTGGTATCTGTATGCAAGTATGTGTGTTTGTTGGAAGGTGAAAAGTGGTGAGGGGCTGTGGGTTCGAATTGTTTAAAATCCTTGCTGTTTTGGACTTTGGTGGACATGGGAATGGTCTTTTGTACTGTCGCCCTGTCAAATGGTCCAAAAATGTACCATTGAAATGGCCTATTTTTTATCTAGGAGGTCAGAATCCCGAATGTGATTATTCAAAATTAATTGAAGTCTGCTTGGAGAATATTTCTAGTTTTTAAACTCTTATTCAGATGAACCAAGCTAGTGTTTATTTTACACTGAAATCATTATAATGGGTGCATTAATGTGCAGGGTGATCAAAAATAAAACTGTACAACTTTTTTTGTTAATATTTGCAGGAAGTTTTGCGCTTCAAATTTGTACACAACATTAGGAAGTCAAAAGGAATTTGTCTGATATGTTCATTTTAGAAAAATCCACAGAATAGTTTTATTTTATACAGCACGTAAAAAAACAACAACCCATTTTCAACTATGTCCCCATTTTTGTAGCATGGCGCACTAGTTCGCATTAGGCCTACCACTAAAACTCTCAACAATTGAGCCATATTGCATTCTGCAGTAGTCTAACAGGCCAACAGACGTTTGCAGATAGTTTTTCTCAAATTTCCTTTGGCTGCTGTGATCATGGTTAAGATTAATAAAGAGCAGAGAGTTTTTTGTATTGAACATTTCCTCACCACTAACTCATTTCGTAAGTTTCGCACAAGGTACCAAAATAATGTTCAAGTGCCCTTAGGGCCTTCTTTGATGCCAAAGGTGGAAATGGTTCATCCGTTAGTACCTGTAGAGAATAAAAAACTATAAATTCCCAGACGAAACGACCATTTCACTGTTCAGGTTAAACACTCACCGTTCGCTCCCCTTTAAACGTCCCCCGGGTGCAGAATTCAGTAGATGAGCCCCATGAGACGTCTGTCCGTAGACGATGTCTGCAGCAATGAATTTCCTTCATCTCAACTGTCCTCATTCTCAAGGCAGCTCTTTATTTAAAACGGTACGTTTTCCTGTTCACGAAACTATCAGAGGATAGCAATGTGTTCATGATTCCTCGCTCGTCTTTAGAAGCGTGGACATTTCCTCTCTGACATTTTGGTTCCTTGGCAAAGCCCTTATTTACCTTTCAGGTTATATCATCTTCACAAATGCTGTCTATTTAGGCAACCTCCCCCCTCCCCCTATTGTCTCTAGAAACAGCTTCATACTGTAAGGTGTACTGTGTGGCTTTGAGTACTCATGGTTGAGTGGATTCTTTTCTTGGGGCCACCATTGAACATTACGAACGATGCTTTAAAATGTGTCGAGTCCAAAGGAGGACATATAGACCATTGGTTCTCAGAATTCCAGAGTTTAAAAAACTGTTGTTTTAACTCTGTATGAGAAAAGAAATATTGTTTGAAGGTTACAGGGATGGAAAAAATTAGATTTTAAATATAAAAGGAAAGGAAGAATCAAATCAACCATTTCATGACTTCGTTTACAAAATCTTTTAAGTTAGCGCATTTTGCATTTATAGGTGGTTTTCTAAAAAGCTTTTTCCGTTTTCAAAAATATGTTTCTTTTTCGTGAATTTTATGTCAAACAAATTCTTGTTGAATGAATTATATATATTTTAAATTACAACATTCTAGTACCAATTTTATGCGAGATATTCAGAAAATAAGTTGTACAGTTGTTGTTTTTTAAAATCACCCTGTACTTCTGGGATGTAAATTTGTGACAGCTGGCTGGCCACAAATACGTTTATATTGATGCGCTGTTTGGAGACGTTTTGGTGTGTGTGTGTGAGAGAGGGGGAGAGAGCGAGAGAGAGAGAGAGAGAGAGAGAGAGAGAGAGAGAGAGAGAGAGAGAGAGAGACTCACATAAACACATTTTTTAGAGTCAAGAGATGTTTCATGTTGGGAATATTCTTGTGCCAGTATGCTCTTTCTTCTCATTACACAAAACTGTTTGCGTTGTATCACTTTTTTATTTACATATGTATACCAACAAGTCCCACACCACAGCGTCAGATAGTTCTTGAAAGAATGATCACTCACTCACTCACTTACTCACTTACGCTTCAACAGCGCATGACCACGAAAATAAGTGGCTGGGTCGCATACATTCAGAATATAGTATGCATTGCTCGTAGCAGGCCTTGCCTGCTGTTTACGCGAAATCCACAGGGTTTGTTACTTTTTTCTGTCTGTCTTTATTCTTTGCTGTTGGCTGAAAGGTCGTCTCTGTACGCTTTTGCTTTCAACTCTGAAAAATTATGTGTCTCAATAAAAATTAGGCGAATAAGCACCTTCTCCAACTTACTACATGCTTGTCAATGGTGTATGCGCTGTAGTGGTTAGTTTTGTCGCCTTGCGAACTAAAGTCATGTCAGGGATTCCCTTGCGGGAAAGGTACATTTTTGGGTATCTCCCGTCTTTTTGCTGGAATGCTCTGTATTCCTCCCATGGCAGCTTGGCCCAAACAGGCAGAGTGGACGTTACGGCCCGCCTGCTAAATTGTCTAAACGGTGCCAATAGGAGACTTGAGCATTTACAATCAATGTCTACTTCTCACGATAGGCTCAGAGTGCATCGGGGCCTTTCGGCAGTTCACTAAATGTTTCTGTCTGTGACAGTAGAGGATGGAGAGGGCGCCTCACATTATGAAACGTATGATATAGTCGCCTTTGTGAAAAGACCATGGATAACCCCTGCTGAGTACATTTTACTAGAGAAGCAAACAATCAATTTAGTTTCGGAGCATTGTTAGTCAAAATTCAGACCTGTCTTTGACTGACCACATGACCTGGGTGATTTACTGTCGATTCGTTAAATTTAATAATAAAAATGATACTCAGTAAAGAGAGTAAGACATTTGTTTCTCCCCCTCTGTACCGCAGGGTAACAGAAGCTGACAAAAGTAAACATATGTAAAGTAAGCCAGTTTTATCACAAGGGCGACGATATGTATCTTTTTCACACCGTAGTTTCTGTTTTCTGATACCGCTTAGTACATCGCGACAGGAATGGCAGAAGGAGAAAAAATGTAGTACTGAGGAGGATCAAGCCGCCCATGTAGTGGAAGCCTGGATAGAACGAGTCGTATTTATCCTTGAATATGCCCATCATCAGGTGGTCCGTGGTGTGAACGCCGCCCATGAGCAGGAAGTAGATGGACAGTACAGATGGGATGTAGTGTACGCCCAGAAAGTCGCCCACAAGGACAGGCATGAAGGTCTGCATGACGTCCAGGGTGTAGCCGAACATCACTTGATGAGCCAGCATCAGCCCGAACCCTTGGAAGAAGCGGATTACCTGAAGGAGGACGGCTGCCGTCAGTTGTGTTGTGGCCACGATGTACACACGCGGTATGCGTTTCGTGTCTGCCACAAGGCCAAGGCTGAACTTGCCAACGAGGTCACTGACACCTGTTACGGTGAGCAGAAGGGACACCTGGTAGTCGGTCAGACCGTTCTCTTGACCGACAGCTGGAATGTAGGTCAGCGAGGTCTGCGTGTGATGACCGATACCCCCGGCGATAATCAGGACGACGGCGATAGGGTTTGTGAGAATGGAATTGAGCACTGCTGACTTCACCTTTTGGAAACAAGAGACATACAAGTTCCGGCGTGATCTAAGTGACCCTTGTCTTTCTTCATCTGAAATATCCACATGATTTATGTCTGTACTAGCCGATCGCCTACTCACTGTACGCATGTGGTGGTTAGTGTGGAGGAGAGGCTCGCTGAGTTGTGGTGTTGACACCGTAAGATTGGGTGTACTCATGTATTTAAGATTTCTTGAAGAAAGTAATGTGTTAAGAGATTTAGAAAGCGCGCCAGAAATTCCAACGGTTCTCTGAGGTAAATCTTTTAGACTTCCTTTGTTGTTGAGTTGTACGTCAGTGCGACTTGCGTGTTCTCTGTGATCATTACTGATGATGCCTCTTCCCGTTGTCATTTCCTCTGATGTGTCATCCAACGTGGTTAGGTGGTCCATATCAGTAGAGACACGACTCTTAGAATTGGAGAGTAGATCATTGTCCGTTGTTTCAATGCCTTCTTCGTCTATCACAACGACGCTCGTGGTGGTCAGGTCGTACCCCGAGATGGGTCTGAAAAGCAAAGAGGCCACAAAAGCGTTCATGCTGAAGGCTGCAAACACCAGCAGGGTCCCGCGGAGGGCGTACTCGTCCAACAGAAACCTGCACAGCGGCGTGCCCACCAGCGTGGCCAGGCTGATACCCATGGAGGCCACGGCGTTGGCGAAGGAGATCCGTCTCTTGAAGTAGTGGCCCAGTAGGGTGGTCTGTGGGAGGATGACGAAGGCTTGGCCCATGCCGATCATGGCGTAATAGAGGTTGAGAAGGCCAATGTTAGGGCAGAATGCAATGCCAATGATGGCTGTGGTGCCGGCCGTGGAACCGATGAGCGCTAGGGTTCGGACCTCATACCTGGTGTTTTTGAGGAAAGAAATGAGAAAATGTCAGTTCGTTTCGTAGCGCAGGTTATTCGGATTTTTAAAGACTACCCTCTCTGTCCTGTTGGAGATACATTTTAGTTCGGACGCCCCACCTGTTGTAATTAACAGAAGACGTCTCTGTGCTCAAAGTGACAAAGCAGTTTCGCCTAATACCCTTTTTTTCTTGGGACGGTTATATCAACTGAGTGGGTGGTTGGAGGGCACCACTGACAGGTCCTACTTCTTTACTTTACCTCTATTGTTAATTCTGTCTGCCTGTCTTACTTTTTCCCAACACTCAAGCAAAACAAACAAACCGTGGGTGTTACTTCTGTCTGTTTTTCCCAGCACTAAATGACTGTCATTGAGCTGGTGTTCTTTTTTACTCAAACTAAAAAAAACCCATTAAGAGCGAAGAATGACTTGAACCAAATACCTTTTCATGAGGAACATAGACAAGACGATGTTGGTGATGGCGAAGCAGATAGACGTGAACCCGAAGGCCATCGAAGTTGCCGTGGCCGTGGCGTCGTAGACTCTCAGGAACTCAATGAACAGAAGCGCTTGCGCGCGCATGAAAATCACAACGACGAACTGATTCAGGAACGCCCCAAACATCACAAACCACGCCCACCCGCGGTCCACGGGCAGAGGCGGCTTTTTGGGGGCGGGGCCTCCACCATTCATCTGTGGGTAATTTGAACGATAGTAGTGTAAGCGGAGTGGGTAGAGCGCAAGGTGGGTATAAAGGTCCTTGACAGAACGTAAAGTGGGGCGATTCACCAGTGGGCAGGGCAAGTGTGAACCAATCGGGGGGGGGGGGGGGAAGGGAGAGAGAGAGAGAGAGAGAGAGAGAGAGAGAGAGAGAGAGAGAGAGAGAGGGGGGGGGGAAATAATGAAATCGACGAGAACAAAATTTGAACAGAGACCTTCCTCTTCCCGTCCTTAAATTGCCTGTTTCGCGCACTCCAATTAAGTTCTGTCCCAAATTGGTGCAGATTTTGTCATTGACTCACACCTTTCTCAGTATTGAAAGCGTTTTATTCTTCCGAAATTAAGGAATACGTAATGTTTTACTAAGAGGCATTTTCCTCCGTCCGGACACTTTGGCGTGGTAGCATTCATGAAAGGCAAAAATACTTGTGGTCGGCAGACTGTTGAAATGTACTAAGCCCATCAAAAAAAAAAAGGAAGAAAAAAAATCCAGGAAAGAGAAAGAACTGTTTAGTTCTTGTACCAATATTACATGTTTTTGCTTGCTTTTTTTTACGTTTAGAATTTTGATTATTCAAAGCATCATCTAAAGAAAACCAAACTTCATTCATCTTCTTTGAAAATTGTTATCAGTGAATCAAGGACATTACTTCCTGTGAATATTTAGAATGACTATAATAAAACGTAATGAATTTGTCTCGGACATAATGATCATTTACATTCGAAGGGGTCTCGTAAAGTGACTAAAACACGACTTTATGAACTTTCTAATCGATTATTTAAAAATGTAACTGTGTCAAAAGCAAATGAAGCTGATTAAGATTTGCCATGAAAATCTTCGCTTACGAATCATCCCCCAAACAATAACGTGACGAAGCGAAATCTTAGGGATATTATCTAGCTGGATTCTACTCACTGTCGACGAGGCAGGCTTGAATACAAAGTCGTTTAGTCGTTGAGAGCTCACGATGACCTTTTTCCGCTTCTACGTCAACTACAGCAAGAAATACACACTCAAACCTCGTACTGTATAATTTGTACATGTATAAAGATTGTTCACACACTCAAATGATAAATAAATAAATAAATAAATATATATATATATTATATATATATATATATATATATATATATATATATATATATAATATATATATATACATGTAGTGATTTTGTGTGCATGCGTATGTGTGTGTGCGTGTGTGTGCTGTATATATATATATGTATATATACATGTATAACAAAGTGAACACTGCAAGGAATGCAGACGCGAATCTCGTACTACGAACAAGATCTGACGAGTTACGATCCGAGCTCTATAGAGCCCACTGAAGCAGATCGCGTTATTGTTACCGTAGTAACGTTCACCAGGTGTCGCTTTGTAGCAGGACCCTGGTTAATACATATAACCGAGCTGTCTTACTGTATAAAATTGTAATGAGTAGGCCATGAATATGCAGCGAGACAGCGTAAGCTGTTGTACTGCTTCGTGCCAAAAGTTCAGGTGTATTTTAAAAAATGTTTTTTTGGTAGGTGTTTTACGGCGTTCGCAACTGCATATGGTCATATGAACACCCGGGACACATTAAACATTTTCAGGTTTTGAGTTGGTAGGCAATTTTTAATTTTGCTCGGGTGGCGGCCGAAGCCTACTCTTATCGATTTAGACCATCAAGGGATCTTTAACGTGCACAACTTGCACATGGGACCTCAGGGATTTTTCGCCCTTGTCCTTTTCTAGAAGGCAATATGTAGATCTTTCCTACCAGAAGACCAGGTGTGTGGTTGAAAGACAGCAGTAAGAAGGAGCCAAGGAGAAGCAGTAGAAAGGCTGCAGAAAGAGTCAGGAGCCCAGAGGAGGGGGGCAAATGATGTGAGGGGGTGTGGGCAGAATGTGGAGACGAAAGCAGACGACTGGACATTGCTAGAGAGCAGGAAAGGAGGTGAAAAGAGACAGTAGTTTTAGAGAAGAAAATTTTTCGATCAATACCCGGATTCCAACCCGGGACTTTTTGAATGAGAGGCGAACACCTTAACCTCTAGGCAACGAGAGTCCATTGTAACACCTCTAATCTTCGGCACTTGCATGACCTGATTGTGTTGCCAGTGCCGTAATAACTGTTACTTAAAGTATAAAATAAAACGATTATCAACTTTTCCTCGTGAATAGTTTTAAAGGGGGCCAATGCGAACAGCCCTGTAAAGTAACGCGCTTACCAGCGAGTATTATAAGCTTTATGACACTAGCATTAATTGCTAACCAATGACGCTTACACCAAAGATAAAATTATTGTCCCGTATATTGAAATAATTATGAAAATATATTCTGTTTTAAAGCGTTTCGCTTCTGGTGGTTGGAGTGAGTCACTGCATTGTCCTACGTTTCTTTCACTCTGTTGTTTGTGATAACCTGTCTTGCATTTTACCCGCAGCGCTAAATGACCGTCATCAAAATAATGATAATAATAACAAACAACAACAAAATTAGCAACACTGCTGCTGCTGCTGCTGCTACTACTACTACTACTACTACTACTAAACTCTTGACGTTATTTAATGTTGTTTTACCTATATACTTCGTTCTCTACTTCTGTTATCTAAATCTACTGGGTGCTTCGACGGTATCCTGCTGGACTACAGAGTAGACGGCCCTAATTCGAATACCCTAATGAGCTTTCTTAAACGCGGGTCGTTTTATGGTGTTTTCTTCAAGTTTTTCAACCCGTTTGGTTCAGCTCTATCGAAGATGAACGTTAAATTCGAAGGTCCTGCCTCTTGAAAAACTTAATAGTGTTGAAAGGTGGTGTTAAACCAAATACAATTATGCTTGGTTACTTACCAAATCCGTTCCTAATGAAATGATGTAGGCACGATAATGGTCACGACCTGAAAACTGTTATTCCACAACTTCCGAGGAAACATAAGAAAATTTATCGGCTGTAGTGATACAGTCGCGTTAGAGCCTGGCCGACTGGCTTGTGTTCGAGATAGGAGCCTTATGTAGTTCTTGACTTTTCTGTACCTGCCCGGAAACGTTCCCTTGTGCCCGATCGATGGCCGAAGCCCTGTCGTCCTCGCAGTAAACGCTGTTGCAATATCTAGAGGAGCTGTAAGCTTCAACAGTTTTTTATGACGTCTTTATTGTTTTCGCTTGGCTTGATATGAGCCATATTATTACATATATAATGTTTTTACTTTAAACCCGTATCCTCCTCTCCTCTCTTTGGAATAGCTGTAGTTGAAATAGCGATGGTTGGAGTCATAGGCCTTTCATATATACGTAGCTGCTTTTAATTTGCTAGTTATGGGGGGGGGGGGGGGCGGGGAGTTCAGATCTCTTCCAACGTGTGTTTCATGGTCATGCTGACACGGAGACATCCCAATGTGTTCGTATAACCGTGTAGAGAGAGAAGGGAATGTGAGATATTGAGGTCAAAATGCCCATGTGTTGTGTGTTCCGTCGGCGGACGGGATATTCAACCGCAACGCTCAGTGCAATGAGGCATAGCGCCAAGTACAAAAAATGCAGTTGTTTTTTCATTCTTTAGTGCGGGTTTGGCCGCGCGTTACACGTTCTCCGTTGACTGCGTTTTAAGTTTTAAAATTGGTGTGAGTGAGTGGTTGGCGGGTGCTTTGGCGGGTACTGTCTGCTTGTCTTACTTTTCCCCAGCTCTAAATGACCATTAATGTGTCGGTGTGCGTCTCTTTACTAGAGCAAACAAACAATTATCTGTCGCCCCTTAACTCTTTCCTATCAAACTCAAACATCTGTCGGTGTGTGGTTGGAGATAGCCGCTGGTATGTCCTACTTCTTTTCTCTCTCTCTCTCTCTCTCTCTCTCTCTCTCTCTCTCTCTCTCTCTCTCTCTCTCTCTCTCTCTCTCTCTCTCTCTCTCTCTCTCTCTCTCTCTCTCTTGTCTCTCTTTCTTTCTCTCTCTCTCTCTCTCTCTCTCTCTCTCTCTCTCTCTCTCTCTCTCTCTCTCTCTCTCTCTCTCTCTCTATCTCTCTCTTGTTTTTGTCTGTCTGCCTTACCTTTCCCCAGCACTAAATGATCATTATTGTGTCGATGCGCTTCCCTTTAATAAAAACTAACAAACATCT